ATATATATATATACACACACACGTGCTAGCATTTACGTGTTAGCAGCCCCTACATCTGAATACATACTAAACGTTACTAGACCATACATGTATATGTCTATACTGACATGCACACGCACGGTTGTGTAGACATGAACATATCTGGGAGGGAGGAGGGAGGGAGAGAGAGACAGAGAGAGAGAGAGAGAGAGAGATATAGAGATGCGTAGAGACATGCCGGATGACAGAAGAAGCCTCGCTGCGATGTCATTCTTTGAGCTTCAGTGCGCAAGCCCTTATTTCCACCACTCCCTCGAACCCATTGGCTTGCCACTGCGCCTGACTGAGAACATGGCTGTACTTCCCACACAAAATAGCAGATTGCCACAACACTGGGCAGAAAGGCTAGAAAACATCCCCTCTCAAACAAAACAAAACAAAAACTGAACCCTAAGCCCCAAACCCTAACCCCTAATCCCTAGAACCCCAAACCCAAAGCCCCAAACCGTGAAGCCTCAACCCCACCTAAGCCCCCAACCTGCAATCAGAACTCTTCTAGCCCTCCCCGGCCACGTCCTGCTTTCCAGTTGAGCATTGCTCAACGAGGCCCCACCCCTGGACAAACAGGGTTTAGGGTATTAGGGTTTTGGGAGTTTTGGGTCTTTTGGGAGCTTAGCAATGATTGTCGGAAGAGCTTGGAGCAAGAATATTGGACTCCCTTTGGAGGTTTAGAGTGTCTCAGGTTTAGGACAGCTCATGGGCTTACTTGGCTTAGCGGTTTTGGCGCGGGGGAAGGGTCCCTTTAAACGGTTTAGGGTGTAGGCTCCGGCTGCAGCCTTTAGAATTCGAGCGCTCAGGGCTTAGCTAGGGTAGGCTCGTCGGTAAGAAAGAGGCCTTCACGCCGGTTTGGGGTCCCATCTTAGTATGATTCTGCAGGGGGCCGGGGCGATCAGGGGGTACTAGTGCTAAGTACTCTGGCCTCTGTAAACCTTATAGGTATATGACAAGATCTCTGCACAGTTACAACTATATACTTCTAATTCCGAAGCACTTGATGGGCAGTAGGCATAGGACGGAATTAGGCTTAGCCTGGGAAGAGCTGCGTGGTGTGTTGAGCTCGCACAAAACTCGCAGTTCGTTGTCATGCCCCAAAAACCCCAAACCCCTCACAATCCCCAACCCCTATAGGACTGCACCTCCAAAGCCTTCAAGCCCTAAAGCCGGAGCAGAGGACTGAAGCTCTACGTCCTTTTCTGGTCGCGCAGGGGGGCGCGCGGGGCTCTGCGCAGTCTGCATTTTGGGATGGAAGCGAGCCTAGGCCCCCCCTCCTCCCGGTGCGAAGGAACCCTTATGAGTTGGGGGTTCTCAGGGGTTAGTAGTTTCATAAAGGCTTAGGAATATGAGTCTGAGGGTTTTTGGCCTGGGAAGCGGATGTTGAATCTTGGTGAATAGAGCTTCAGTCGCCGGTAGGAATGCTATCTACTCAATTTGCACCTGTGAAGGGGCTCCAATGACGGCAGTTCCACGCTGCCCTGTCTCACGAGGCTTTTGCAAAGCGGCGAGAGTGCGGGAGGCTCCAATGAATTCCTCAACGCAGGCTCTCACGGCGTGGCATGCCAGTAGTTCAGCTGGGTGTAATACAGAATAATTGGAATAGATTTGGGGATATGTTGAAATGCCATCATATTCGGGAACCCTACGGAAAAAGACTAAAATTAATGCATCAGCTTCTTGCGGCATCAGGCTTTACTACACAGGGTGTAAGAGGATGAGACCAGAGCTGAGATTCCGTCAGGAGCTAGGTGAAGGCACGGATCAGGTCGGAGATGCAAGTGATTACGAGATTGTCATCCAAGAGCCAGTTAGCTCCGCTCTCAGTTCGGAGAAGCTGTAGGGTACCATATTTAGGGTACTATTTTGGGGCACTATATTTAGGGTCCTTATAATAAGGATCCTACTATTTAGGGCGCTATAATGCTTGCTGATATCTTGAGTTGGAAGGCATGTTGAACAGGACTGGCCATGCGGGAAAATCTGCTTCCGACAGGAGCCACCGCTGTACAACTTGGCTCAGGGGAAGCAACAAGCGATGCTTCTGGTTCTGTTGAAGCGAGGGCGAAGATCAGGCACCCCTGAAAACTACACTACGCACAAAACTCAAAGTACCGGCTTGGCCATGTAGAGGTTGACGGCGCCATAAGCAAAACCTGGGACATCGCTCTGGGGTTTCTGGCTTAGGGTAGTATTTGGCAGAGTATCTGGTCATAATTCACAGGGACATTCACACTATTCCCAACGGTTCAAGTGCCTACTATTTCGAGGGGCGTGCCTTATGACTAATGGGTCGGTCATGAGCTACTACTTCGTACGGCTGGGGCGACTGAACATGCTCCCTTTGTCCTGTCTTTCTTTCCCCTCCTCCTTGCTTAATTACTGACGCTGCTACGGCGCTTAAGCCTGACACGCCCCATATCAAACTTATGGATTTCACCAGATATTGGAGTATTTCTGATTGCTCTAT